GCCTAGGATAATAATAATTATAATTAAAACGTAACTATTTCCTTTAAGCTTAACAGTACTCGTGTCGTTAATGAGGTCGTTGGCCCGAGCAATTCAATTTATGATAAAACAAGCGCTACATAGACGTACTCTGGCCTTTTTGCAAAAATATATTTTTGCTAGCGCTCAAGTGACTATTATTATCTTTTGTTATATTAATATATTTAGAATTTTATTTAATTAATCTTGATTTATATAAGTTTGTGCACGTTTCTTTGTATTATGTAGTATAAAACATCTGTTAATAATGTTAAAGAAAAATATTGTTATTTTTGATGATAATATAAAAGAGAATCGCAAGTGTATTTTTAAAGTCAAATGATTAAATATATTATACATATAATATGTAAAGTAAATTCTAGAAAATAGAAAGATATATATTGCAGGCTTTTTAAATTATTGAAAGTAAGCAAGTCGTGTACCTAAATACACGTCGATCAATACGCTGCAGTAACGATTGACCTATCGACATTGATTACATTCATGTTATACAAAAGGTTTCACATATTTTTTGTGAAAATTCATAGCTGGTCGGCCCTTGGACGAACTAGAGAAGAATTGGGCAGATAATACTAAAACGAGCCAATATAGCCCCGGGGACCAAAAAAATCAATGAAATTCCTTTTATCTTTTTGAATGGATTTTCCATGAGTCCGAAGGTTGAAAGATACATTGTGACGACCACTTCAAATATTCTTTTTCTTTTTAATATGATGTTACTTTCAACTTCAAAGGACGTCAGATTGGACGTACATGATAAGAATGTAGAGCAGCGTTTAAAACATGTTTATATGTCGTAGAATGTTACTTATTAAATACTTTCTCTTTTGTGTTTTAATATTGAAAATATCTGTATAATAATATTATAAATGTGAAAGTTTGTTAGTATGGATGTTTGTTACCCAGCGTTTGGTACGCCAGAACGGCTGAACGGATCTGGATGAAATTTGGCACAGAGATAGATTATAGTCTGGAATAACAGATAGGCTTTTTATCCCGGAAAAATGTACGGTTTCCGTATGATAGGTTTACGTATATTTGTTTTTCTAGAGGCGAACCCAGCCGCTAGTACTTAAATATATTTTTTGTAATAATTTGTGTATATAATTTATGAACCAATTGTATACATATAAATTAATTTATATTATACATTATTATTATCTATACATATTACATATAATAAAATAGTAACTTAGCGGAATCTGTAAATGATTTTTTTAAAACAATGACTAACGTATTGTGTACAGAATATAGACCACAAACAATATTTTTGTCTGTTTTTCTGTATGTGTGTTTGTTTGTTTGTCTGTTCGTGTGTGCGCGTTTCACGCGAAAAGTACTGATCCGATTTTAACAAAATATTATATAGTGATAACTTATTACTCGGGTCAACATTTAAGATACCTTTTATTACAGGAAAACCTTTCACTTCCTCAGAAAAATATTCGAAATTCTATAGAGTCATCCTTGGAAATTTACATGGCTAACACTGAATAAACCTTAAGAGATAACTAATAGATCAAAACAATGAACTAGAAAATTGTAGATCTTAAAAAGGCCTATAGAAAAATCTGCAAAAGCATATGTCTTTCTCTCACCGTCTCTCTCTAGTCGTTTGTTACTAGTATGATATCTGTAATATTACTAAGCATAACAAACATTATTAAATTTTATTTGCCGAAGGTGAGCCATTATAGACAATACAAAGTAACAGATAGCGCTAGTTAAACAATTTCTTTTATATCAAAACGGGTTTCATAATTCATTAACACCTCTTTCCCTCTTACAGTTTGCTTTTTCCTACACCTAAAGGTTGCCTGGAAGAGATCGCTGTTTTAGCAATAAGACCGCCTCTTATTATCTATCTGTTCTGTATTTATTTATTTTCTTTTGTTCTTGGTGTACAATAAAGAGTTTATTAATATTATTATTATAATCGTAATATATTCATTTCATTACAATTTAATATGAGAAAATTATATTTGAAGTGTCACAATAGCGTGACAATCGCCTTCACAGCGTGACCCGCTTAGCGGCCACTCTGACTTTCACATACAGCATTGAGATAAAATGTGTCGTCTTACATAAAAGACGACCTCCCTCTCCCAGTTACAATGGCGCGGCGCGGGTAACTGGGGTAACTTTAGAATGTTAGGAAACTCGCACGTTTAAGTGGAAAATAAATATTTTTTCTACTTTTTCAACCTTTTAGACAAAGAAAAGTTCACAATTTAGGTTCATCTGAACCTTTGCGTTTTTAAATTATTTAGATGCTAGCTACGATTTTAAGAACTTATAACTCAACGAATTTAAGACTTAAAACTACTTGTTTGACTCAATTAATTTATTTCCGTTTAGTTTTACAATTCAATATTTCAATACAATAAAATGGTATTTACAATTATGTATATAGGAATTTACCAACATAAAAAGTATTTTATTTTATATAGGTATGTATTCGTGTTGGAACGTGTTAACAAAAGTATGACCCACTAAGCGATCGTACAAAGCATTTCTGCATATAGCATAGTTTTAACGAACTGCTAAAACATATATGTTGAAACTGAGTATGTGTTAAGATATTTTCATTAGTCTCAAAAGAAGCTTGGAATGTTATTGAGCTTAAAGAATTGTTAAGAATTTTGTTAAAAAACTATTATAATTTTGGGTTAATTTATTCATATATTTTTCCCGCGAATCCGCCTGTACTTTATTTTCATGTTATATTTCAACTACTAAGTGTCGTATTATATAGCTAGCATATAGCATTTGCAATAAGAACCACCAAGTGTATACTTCAAACGTATAATAATTATTGATTCACATTTAATAAATACATGCTCATTATACACATTATAAAAGCATACTTAATATATAATTTCATTGAAACTACAGTTAATTACAATAAATATAGGTTACTTTGAATATATCGAATAATTTTAGCATTAAAATTAATGAATCACAACACTTTCCTCAATAAATAGACTATAAAACACAATTTAAACGATACTGTCCCATTACTTAGATTGCAATTCGAAATGAAATAAGAACTCCTTAAAGTATCTTCCGCCTTTGTGCAATCTCGCAGTTCAGGTCGGAGTCCTCAAGATGTAAATTCTTGTCCCTAACAAGTGACACGCTTTGTGCCTTCGCGTGCAAATGCATTGCAATGTCACGCTGCGGGAAACTTATAAAGTGGAAGTGAAAAATTACTAGCTATTTACTTTTCCCCTTAAACGAGTAAGTAGGTCAGTTTATTTTATACTTATATATAAAAAATATATAAATGACAGAGTTTTATTTATAATAATACTAGCAGAACCCGCGGCTTCACTCGCGCTAAAACTACAAAAAATCTCTAAAAGGGTAGTTCCATACAAACTTTGACTCCCTGTTTTACCCCCTTATAGGATGAATTTCGAAAAATGCTAAAATACGTATTTATTTAATTTTATTGAAGAGCATTAATACCAAGTTTCAAGTAATTCTGAACATTAATATTTTTTTGACTTGTATTATAACGTATTTTCTCGTGGGAATTAGATAGATAATCTCCCGCGGTAAAAAGTAACCTATGTCACTCTCCAGCTCTCCAACTATCTCCACACAAAAAATCACGCGAATTGGTCAGTCCGTTTTGCCGTGAAAGAAGGACAAACAAACAAACAAACAAACACACTTTCATATTTATAATATTAAGTATGGATTATAGAAGTATTTTTTTTTGTTTAAATTATAGCAGTACGTATGTATGTATGGAGTGAAGCTACTATTGTTACGATCTAAATTCTTTTTCTGTAATGTAGCTTTATTTCTAAGTGACATGAACTACTTTTAGTTTAGTATATTGCAAAACTTATTGAAAGACAGTCGGGGTTTCGTTAAGGTCTTGTCGTTTCGAGAACAGGGAGTGCAATACTATAGTTTATTATGTAAATTATTATAATGCGTCCTTTTTACCTCTTTCATGAAACTGTAAAATAATATAATTATGACCAAGAGGATGAAAAAAATATCGAAAATTAGTTGAATGTACTGTTAAACTACCTTTTGATATTTAAACTGTATATATTTTCATAGTTGTAATCAAATATTATGACAGAAAAGGCTTACAATGAGAAAAAACATCCGAGCAAACTTGGCGCATATTTGTGTTTGCTAAACAATAGGCGAGCGTGGACACCAAAATTCATTTAATAAATCCACCGACAAAGACATGTTCAAACTTTGCGAATTTATGAAATGGGATGATTTGCGACCTCAAATTATTTCAGTTTGGTAGGCACTCTCAAACATGCCGAAATTAGCTAACTTTTTGCGGGTGACTAACTTTTTGGGACGTGAAGAAACATTCTTACCACACAAGTGTGTAGATTTTCACGTAATCATTTCTATAACCACGATACTAATTAGATTACTATTATAAATGTGATAGTTTGCATGTGTGTCTATGTGTGTATGTTTTAACTCCCGACGCAAAAAGAGGGGTCTTATAAGTTTGACGTCGATGTCTATCTGTCTGTGTGTATGTGTGTGTCGGTCTGTGGCATCGTAGCTCTCAAACGGATGGACCGATTAGGATGCGGTTTTTTTCATTTGAAAGCCAGTTTCCTTGCTGGTTCTTAACTATGTTTGGTTAATATCGGTCCAGCAGTGTAAGAGTATCAGCTCTTTTCTAAAATGATGTAAGGCATTATGGCTTATGATTACTCGATTAAGAGCTTCACGCGTGCCAGTGTAATCGTTAAATGACAATTTAATTTGCGTAGGGGTTTTTTAAAATTTTTAATTTTTAATTATTTACTCATTCACGCTAAAACAGCTGGTCCAATTTAAATGTAATCTAGTACATAGGTAGACGATGACCTGAATTAAAATATAGACTACTATCAGGTGTTTAACTTTGTGGTGTATGTACTATGTAAAATAAATAAAATAAAATATATATCTATTTGTTTCAGAACCATGAACTGGTTATGTTTGCTGATGGTGATGGTGGCGGCGGCAGCGGCGGATGAGGCGACCGATCCTAAAGGACTGCTAGAACCTGCACCAGGTCAGTTTTGTTTTTTGTTCTTTATAAATATAAGGACTTGTCCCTTTGATATAGATTGATACTTATTTTATGATTTATATATATTATACGAGTATATATTACATAACCGTTTGCTGTTAATTTGAGAAAAATGGTATTCTTTTTGTTTAAAAATAAAGTTTTAACTATATACGCTAAACCGGTTGTAAATAATAAATTTATTAACGAATGTAACCTAAAGAAATACTTGAAATAAGTTTTATATAAAATTTATACCTTACATGTAAATAATGTATCATTTGCTTGGCTCCGTAAAGAAGAAAGTTTTAATCACGACTTCCCAACCCACTTAAAGCCCTCCGCCGACTTTCACAAAATTATGATTCGCAATTCCTATTTAATGAGATTTCATAAGATTCGACGTTCTGTCAAGTACTATGGAGGCCATCAATTACAAAATAAGTTTGGAAGTAAAAAATTACATTTTACAAATTACAGAGGTAAAAAGTTGCAATCAGTTTTTTTTCATTAGCGAAGTTTTTAAAATTTATATCAACCAAAGAGATCTTTGACTATCTAACTCTTATTAAAGTGAAAACTTCTAGGTATCATAGGCAGGTTTGTCGTCATCGACATGGACACGTGACGTGTTAACGCTAACACTCAGAGTACCGATAGATGTCAAAATCAGATAAATGTGAACAATTTTAATTTACAAATCTTAATTTAAGTTCAAACAAACAATTTGAATATCCAAAAATTATACTATAATAATATTCTAAATTATACTTTGAATTGAAATAATAACATTCAATTTGTGTTTAAACTTATGACCACGTGAGCTATAACAAGCAACATAAAAAATATTAAAGAAACCGCAAAAATTTCCATTGTTACAAAAATGCAAAGGATGATAATTAAAAAACTATTAAAGTCTTGTAATTAAGATCTATAAGTCGGCTTCAGCGTCAATAAGAAGTTCATTCGTCTCCGTCGCTTCTTTAGAAATCTATTTGTTGTCAAGGAAAGTTGTTCAACAATTTTTCTAGCTAAGTGAGAAGTGAAAAAGCTATTAAGATTCATTTTTAATATTTATTTATACTACTACTAATACTAGCTGACCCAACAAACGTTATCTAGTTTTTAAGAAATTTTCTAGTGATCGTAAGCACTTAAAAGTGATTTTTACTAATTCCCAAATTTTTTAGGCAAATTTTACATTTTTTTGCATTATAATTACGTTATAAAACAGAAATTAGCAATATCGGCTCAACCGTTATAAAGTGATGCGTTTGACGATGACTGATTGATGATGACCAACGAACACCATATCATTTTTAGGGTTCCGTACCTCCAAAGGCAAAAAAGGAACCCTTATAAGATCACTCTCTTGCCCGTCTGTCCGTGTGTCTCCAGCGATTGTCTCAGGTACGAGTGGATCTAGCAAGTTGAAATTTATACCAGATACCGAGATCTGTAGTCCCTATTAGGTATTAAATTCAAGGTCCTGAGTCAACACGATAAAAAGATATGGACAAATTTATATTTTCGCGAAAACTTGTAAGTAACAAAATTTACCTTAATTTTCAACTTTTTTTATTTTTCGGAATTTTCCCTTTATTTGTACTGTACCTTGCTTTTAACCAAAATTGACAATTCTAGGTCAACCGGAAGTACCCTATAGGTTTTGTATCGAACACCTATATAGTAGTTCCCGTTGATATAGAATCACGAGGCAAAAAGTAAGGTCTTACAGAACAAATAAAGGGAAATTAAAGTTAAACAGATTTTTCTACAAATTTGTACGGAACCCTCGGTGGTAGAGTCCGACTCGCACTTGTCCGTATTTTTTATAAAATATTTATTTATATAATCACACTATCGGATACTTAGGTATCCGTTGTGCAATTTCTTAGATAAAAACTGAGGGATAAGCTAAAATTACTTCCACTAGTTATTTCATTACAATTATGTATGTTTATTTTTTGTGCTTTATTTGGGTCGCAACATTACATAACTAAGAAGACCTTTCTTACCATTTCTCCAAACAATTTAAAAGCCATTAAGATGCTAATATCTAGAACGCGAAGTAACGACGATATAAAAATCCATCTCGAACACATTTATAAAGTGCTTAATTACTCGTAGCCTCGTAGCAGCTCGTAGCAACTCGTAGCATCGTCGAGCGTATCTCGTTACTTCAACGATCGTGATACGTCTACGTTTTCCAATCTTAAAGAGCAGATTGAGTTCAGTTTAAACTTATAGAAGCATTCAATGTTCATGTAGAATCTATTTATTTTTATATAACAAATTAATAATAAACACTTAAATGTTAGGGAGCTGTTTGTGGTTTACACCAAGTCCGAATATAAAGAAGTACAAACATTGTGACATGGAAATTTTATACATTAGATTACATAACGCCGTTAACTTACTGTATTTTTTCTATTATTTGGGACTTATGTAATCGAAATTAAAGTTAATTGTATTTTAAATGTAATTATTACTTTTACTACAGAAAAAGTCCCATTGTATCCATCCAGATTTTCTAAAATGTTGGATATTTAAAAATTCTCGCGATTCTTTATTCGATTTGCTTAAATTTTAATATATTAAAACTCTAAACACATTTTTTCAAAACAAGTCAACGTTAAATATTATACTAACATGCATACTATGTTTCGTTAAACCTTTTCGTAAAGCATAAAAGTACTACGAATTTGTCGGGCAATTTGTACCCAGATAATTCCCATAAGCCCGGAAAACATTGTATGAGATAAAGTCAGATAGAGGATTTTCGTTTACAGGCAATGATGGATTTCTCAATTTGGTGTGGACATATATTGTACGATATATGTATATAACTTTAAATATTCTTTAAGACTGAAAGAGTTATAATTTTTCGTTTTTAAATTACATAAAATCTTATATTAAAATACTAGTATTAAAGTTATCTATATTATATTCTAAGCTTCGTCTAAAAATAGAAGCTTTTGATGCTTCTCTTCCAACAATCTATTTCCATCTTTGTTTCTCGACAATGTTACTCTTTCCCTAGCGAGATAGTCCTTTCATCCTTCGCTACGCCCCATCGACAAAATGTGGATTGTATAGTATCGAGACAAAACTAGACGTCTAACGGGGCCCACCCTCAATTCCTTCAGACATATTGCTGGACGGTAACTTTTTCCAATATACTAATATCATATGTGACCCCTTGGTTTACGAGCATTTTTTTCTTGATTCACGAGCCTATATCACTTGACCGTTCATAAATATTTGTATATGCTACAAAAAAATCAAACCAACTAACAAACCAATATGTTTAATATAACTAAAGAAATGAAACGTCGTATTAAATATTTAATTCGATCAAAAAATATAATAACATTATTATAGTAATTCCTGAATTTTATGTTTTCCAATTCCCTTCTGATATAAACATTTAAAGCGAATTTTTATCTGTTAAACAGAATTATCATTTTATTTAGTATACTTTTGTGCATTTAATTTATTTAATTAAAACAGCTACAATTAACGCGGCAAGTGCTGTTGAGCTTAGCTCGGTAAGAACGTCGCGCGAGTTTTACATAAAGATCTAGGTAACCTACAGAGCTTTTACAGCACGGGTTGAGCGCATTTCCATTATTTACAAAATATATTTTTGATTTCTTAAAAAAATAGCTGAAGTAATCAAAAACCTATGTTATTATGAGTACTTAAAAGTAAATAATATTGTTTTTTTTTAATTTTATACCTTATTCATAAAATTATACCTGATTTATATTTTACTTCGTTTGAGAATCTAAAGCCATCAAGCAAGCGGTCCGTTGCATCTGCGACAGACAGTTGTTAGCCTGAATAACTTTCATTTAAAACAGCCTCATTTTTTCATATTATAATTACTTTTGCAGCTCTAATTAAGAAATGAAAAGAATTAGAAGAGCAAAAATGAATTCATAAAAATATATAATACCTGGTCTTTTTATCTATTTGGAAAAAACTATAATATAGTAAATGTTTTTATGTAAATCTTTTGCTTACGTATTCTTACGTATGGTTATGTCTTTATATTTTAAACAAAAATAAATTTTGTGGTCATTAAATTGATAATAAACTATTTCAAAAATATATTATAAGTAACAATTAAACTATTCTATTACGACGAGCTTGAGATATAAAGCCATAGATTTTAACAAGACTCTTTCCATTACATATTTTATCAAAAAGGTGTGTTATGCACATTTTATTCTCATTGACCATAATAAAAGTATATCCAATATCGTATGAATGAAAGAAGTCAATAATTAGAAATTTAAAAGAAAAATGCAATAAAAGCTTATATACATACGAGTATATTTCTTAAACACTAACAAATACTTTTGAAGACTTATAAAGTCTGCAAAAGTCTTGTACAGCTTATAACAGATTTATTTATTTATTTTCTTAATTTAATATATAAATAAATACATATTTTTTTTAAATAAGCTATAAGAATAAAACTTTTAATAATAAAAAAATGTTGCAACTAAATTATCTCAATCCTTTCTGACCTGAAAACAGACAGCTAAATGGAAATGGAGTTTTCCCTTGACAGTTTTTCAAAGTAACTTGAATGAATTTCACGAAGAAATTCTGAGACGGTATTTCGTATTTAAATATAGTAGACATTTATTATGCGCGTCACATGCCTAAGTTTCTTTCAGTCTGAGTTCTGAAATAACAAGAAAATTTCTCGTTCAATAAACTCATACCTGACACTTGCCGTCGGTTTGAAAAATTTAATAATTATTAAACTACATTGCTGCCTACATATATATATATATATATATATATGTATGTATATATATATATATATGCCTATATACCTTGGGAATTTTGAATGAACATACGTGTTTAACAGACTTAGTGCTTTAATGTTTTTATCACTTGTTAGAAACATTAAATTGTATCGTTAACATAACTAGTTAATATTTTTAAAGAAAATAAAGAACTTGAGAAATAATCTTTTCAAAATT